TAAGATCCTACTGACGGCCTTTTTATAAAAAGACATGCAGCCTAGATGCTATTCGCTATGACCGGTGGCCTGTATGATTTTTCATCCAAGCACCACCTCCTGAACGCAAACATCTTACTTTATTAACTTTAAATCGTCTCCTTTAGCATCTATTATCATGTCTAACCTAAACAAGCTCAGAAAACATGTTGAAACTAATTTGCATAAATGATTCTTCATGCAATGTTTCCGTTCCTCAGGTGAGGGTTGCAGCTACCAAACATGGCGGGCGGTATCACTGACACCGGAGAGCCCTACTCTGCTTTTGTGAGTACCTGTTGGACCTTTAAGGATTTTTCCGTGATCGGCGTTAACATTGAGGCCAATGTCTAAAGCTCATCATTAGACTCCCTGATAAATAGCTGAATAGAAAGTTTACCTGAGATGAGTTTATTTTCTGATCTCATCAGGTCTAACCTTTCCTTTCATCAGCTCTGCAGAATCACATGTTAATCTTCTCCCTGTGAAGAAATCTCCTGTTAATAAGTGAAGGAAATGCAGATGACCGTGCAGGGAAACACATCCTCTTTTTTTATTATCAGCACACAGCATGTTTCTGTGTGCGGTCTGGACTCACTTTGACAGCTCACTCAGTCGCTCCCTGGTTTTGCTTACATCAGCGTGACTTTTACACTTGTGCGTCTCAGATGGTTTTTCAGGAAGCGAAACCTTTTGAATTATTAAATAATCTGCTATCAGATAGTCCAGTTTCTTAATAAATTCTTCCACCTCAACGTTTAGCGTCCGTTACCCAGTGTGCTGCGATGCTACATGACATTTAACAAATACCCGAGACAAACGGAGGGAAAGTCGGTTAGAATAATTTAATGGCAGACTAATGCAGGATTCTATACATTTATTGCGTAAGCTAGTAAAAAAAAAAAAGTTAAAATAAGTTTATCTTTTATTGCATCACCTGAGCTTTAAACTGAAACATTTATGAATTCATTATTTATAACAGAAAAAAAATTTAGACTGAAAATAAACGCTCTAAAAGAAAAATGTCCAAAAAAATTAAACGTTTAATCCTAATTTGAGCAGCTAAATAAAAAGATCTACCAATCAATACGTTGGAAAGATAATTAGGCAGATTTTTCTTATTTTACACGTTCATAATTTTACTCTTTTAGCCAATTGCCAAACTTGCTCAAATAAAGAGAAAATACATTTATTTTAATAAAATAAATAGCTTAGAATTTTGCTTGCACATTTTTGGTAGAGCTAAAAGTCCCTATAATAAATGTGAATGAAGTGTTTTTGTTTTATTCCTTCTTTGGTTTTCTACAAACATTTTATTAATAAACCTAAATATTTTCTTCTTCTTACTAAAATTGTGACAAACTAGGAGGCACTGATTGCAGGTTTCCGGCTGATCATGATTACCAATGTTTAAAGTCGTAGGGAAATCACATTTAAATGTCAAATCATTCTGGCTTAAACATATATATAAATGTCCTCTTTATCAGACAATATTGTCCCAACGTTAAATTTCTACTTTAAAAAAAAATCCAGTCTTAGAATCTGTGTTTTTCCG